ACCCTCCAGGGTATGTCCCTGACCCCTCTTCACCCACGGTGTGGGGACCTGGTTCCTGCACCCAGAGTTGATTCCAGGGCTGGGCGGTGTCAGGGACAAGGCTCCTGGCTAAAAGCACAGTAGTGAAGCCAGGGAGGGCTTGGAGAGCTGTAGCACCCCCACCCCCACCCCAAGAATTTCCCTCAGTATCCCCACAGCCATTCAAAAACCATCTGGTCTAAGAATTCTAGAGCTGCCACTGTGTAGACTCCCCTTCTTCTGGGGCTCAGGAAAGAACTAGCATCTCTTCTGCCCACTCTGGCCTCTGTCCACGTTCCCAGTTGTGGAAATGCGCGCGCACACACACACACACACACACACACATGTTCCCAGTTGTGGAAATGCACACACACGGTTTAGTAGCCTTGGGTCAGCAACAGAGCCAACCAGAGAGAGTCTGGGGGTGGGAGAAGCATGGTGCTACGCTTAGACCCCTCACTTCCCAGCAGAGCCCCCTGGGCCCCAGTTCCCCATTTGTGAAATGGAGTCTCTAGACCTCCGCTAATGAGCGGCCACAGGAAGGCTTGGGGAGGGGGCAGCTCAGGCCCTAACCGCAGAGCTGGGCCATTAGGCGATCGATGCCCTCGCTGGGCAGCTGCGGGGAGGGGGCCTGGAAAGGCTCCTGGCTGCATAAATAAGGGATGGGCAGGATGGAGCCAGCTGTGACCAGCCGGGTTTCATAAAACCTCTTCCGCTGCTCAGGTCTGTCTCAGGGCTTCCAGTCCTTGCCACCGAAGCAGCTCTTCCCTTTCTGGGCTTGGAAGATGCCCTTGAGCTGAAGGGCCAGCTTTTTTCCCCATGAGCAACAAGAGGAGAAAGGAATAAAAAACATTACTTCTCAGAGATAGACAATCAGGGAGAGGTGTTTAGAGGGTAAGGTTGATGCTGACCTCCGCTTACTCTGTGAGCAGCCGAGACACAGGTGCTGTTGGCAAAAACCTGGGCAGCTCAGAGGCAAGGAGGAAAGGACTGAATGTCCCAGCCTCGGCCAGTGTCAGCCCCATGGAGGGCTGGTCCAGCACATAGGTGAACTCATCTGCACTCCTGTCCCTCCTTCCCCCCGGTGTAAGGTGGCCCGTGGGTCCTGCGTGCAGCCCAGCAACTGCTCACTCTTGTGGGGCGTTGGTAGGTCCCTGCCTCAGGGAGCTGATTCACAGTATCCCCTAAGTGCCAGGGGAACCATGGAGCCAGGGGCTGCACCCCCAGACCCCCATCTGTTCCTTCTGTCTGGAATGCATCTTCCCCTTCCACTTACTCCTAAGATACTCCTATTCATTCTTCAAAACCCTCCTCTCAGAATTCCCTTGGCCAGACACCTAAACCATTCATTCCTCCTGGTCTGCACTCTTCCTGTATCTCATCCAAACTTACAGTGTCTCAGGGTATCAGTGCCCCTGTCTGGGTACTTTTATAATGTCACCAGGTACTGGGTGTTTTACAATGTCACAGTGTGTCCTGGTGCTTTACGGTGCCTTTGGGTACCCTGGCTCTTTACAGTCTTGCAGTAAACATTTATAATTGCCCCAGCTCCCCACTTACCAGCTGTGTGCTCATTACCTCACCCAGGTCATGTGAGGGATGAATGAGTTAACATGCATCATGATGCTACTAGAACAGGGCCTGGCACAAAGAAAGAGCTCAGTAAACATTAGTTACTTTTTAGATTATTGATTTCTATTCACTCTCTCTCTCTCCCTCATTTGACTATGAGCTCCTTGAGGGCAGGGAATCCTCAAGCCTAGGGCCTAGCCGAGCACCTGGCTGTACCATGTGATTCCTTCATGCTCTCTGTCCAGAGCCGACCAGAAGCTTGCAGTCACAGCAGTGCCAGGGGATGAGGAAGACCAGGCATCACCGAGCACAACACAGAGAACGTGGGCTTGTCAGCAGACCGAGTTCCCAGCCTGCCGCTTACTGGCTGCTTAATCTCTCTGTGCCTCTCAGTTTCCTCATCAGTAAAACTTGAAAACAAATATCTCCATCTTTAGAGTTATTGTGAGAGATTTACATAAGATAATGTCAATAAAACACTTAGCAAAGTGTGTGTCTTGGCACCTGTAAATGCTCCTTAATCTAGAGGTGAAAATACTATTTTTTAAGGCTAGAGAGAGGAGGCAGCCAAGGTTGACACGGACCCCTTACCTCACACACACTCTCCAGCCTTTACCACAGCCCCGTGGGGCAGACAAGGAGGGTCCTAAGGTCTAGGGCTAAGACAGAGCCTTGCCCAGGACTGGAGTTGGGCAGGGAAAGTGCTGTGTGTTTGGGGGACAGGAAGCTGGCCAGCTGGGCTGGAGCCAAGAGCTCCCGCCGGTAGGAACTGTGTGTGCACAAATGAGAAAGGTCAGGGGAGGCTGCAGCAGACACTGGACCTAGTGATAATGGACAATAATAGTACTAATAAAAGTCAAAGGTATTGGATATTTACCATATGTCACGCACTGTTCTGAGACTTTATGTGAACAAGCTCATTTAATTATTTGGACAATCCTAGGAGCAATAGGTACTATTATGATCCTCAAATTACACTGAGGGACCTGAGGCCTAGGGAGATTAGGTGACTTGCCCTGGTCACACTGCTGGTAAGTGGCAGAGCTCTGACCCTGACTACCTCAGCTTTGATACCTACCGCCTCTGGTCCATCTGTTTCTTGCCCAGGTGCCAACATGAGGGAGGAAGCAGACTGTGATGTGCGGAGTAGGAGCAGGGACTCTTGCCGTGGGTGCCAATCTCAGCTCCATCTCTGCCCTAGCTGTGTGACCTTGCACACATTCCTTAACCTCTAAGCCTCAGTTTTCTCCTCTGTAAAATGGGAACAAGAAGCCCTACCTTCCAAGAGACTTACATAGATCAAATACTCTGATACTTGTAGAGCACTTAGCACGGCAGCCGGCACAGGAGAACACCTAAATTAACGGTGACTATCTCCAGCCCTTGCACAGCCAGCCCAACTCTGCAGGGCCGTTCGTTAAATCAATGAATGAATCTCCCCAGCAGCCCCATGAGAGAGATTTGCACCCCTATTTTATAGAGGAGCTTGGAAAGGATGACTCAGCCAGCCTGGGAGCTTGCCTGAGGCTGTGGCTGAGAGGGGGAGATCATTGGACTCCAGAGCCCGTGTTCTCTCTCTGCCCATGTGTCTAGTGATCATCTGCCTGCCACCCCCAACCCAAGTCCCTGGCACAGTGCTTTGCCCTGAGTGGGGAGGAGGCTCCAGAAGTTGGGAAAGCAAGAAGGTATTTGTCTTCGTCAGCTCAGGCTCCCATAACAAAATACCATAGACGTCAACATCTGTTAAACTGTTCAGTGAAACCACAGAAATTCATTTCCTCGCTGTTCTGGAGGCTAGAAGTCCAAGGTCAGGTGCCAGCAAAGTCAGGCTCTGGTAAGGATCTGCTTCCTGGCTTGCAGACGTCTGCCTTCTCACTGTGTCTTCTTGTGACTGAGAAAGACAGAATGCTTCCTCTTCTTTATTTAATTTTTTTTTGTTGTTGATCCTCACCTGATACTTTCCCATTGATTTTTAGAGAGAGTGGAAGGAAGGGGGAGAGGCAGAGAGAGAGAAACATTGATTGGTTGCCTCTGGCATGTGCCCCAGACCAGGGCTGGGGGTCGAGCCTACAACCCAGGTACGTGCCCTTGACCGGGATCAAACCCGGGACCCTTCAGTCACGGGCCTATGCTCTAGTTGTTAATCCTCACCCGATACTTTTCCATTGATTTTTAGAGAGAGTGGAAGGAAGGGGGAGAGGCAGAGAGAGAGAAACATTGATTGGTTGCCTCTGGCATGTGCCCCAGACCAGGGCTGGGGGTCGAGCCTACAACCCAGGTACGTGCCCTTGACCGGGATCAAACCCGGGACCCTTCAGTCACGGGCCTATGCTCTATCCACTGAGCCAAATCGACTAAGGCTGCTTCCTCTTCTTATAAGGCTACGATTCTGTCAGATTGTGGCCCCACTCTTTTGACCTCATTTAACCTTATTATAGTAGGTGAAATTGACTTGTTACATGTCATTTTGCTTAAAGTTGCAAAACCTATCAATGACAGTAAGTGATGACTTACTGCACCTCCTAAAGACTTGATCTCCAGACATACATTGGAAGTTAGAACTTCAACATATGGGTTGGGGGAGGGGATATAGTTCAGTCCATAACAGTATTGAAGGGGAGGAGAAGGACCCCCAGGAGGCCACCTGTGCTGCTGGGTTCACACTTCACTGTGGGTGATATGTGTTCAGACCACAGGGATGCATCACTCAGTCCTGTCCTAGAGCCTCTACAAGTTGGTAGAATGATAAGCACAATCTCATTTGATCCACACAATGATCAGATGAGGTCGGTATCGTCGCCCCCATTCTACAGGCAAATAAACTGAAGCTCAGAGAGTGAGCTTACTTGCCCAGGGCCCTCCAGCTGGGAAATGGCAGGTCTGTGTGATGCCAAATCTGACATTCCCTAGAAACATCTATCAGCTCACAGGACTGAGGGGGCATAGCCTGCCCTCCAGGAGCCCACCATGGTCCTTGGGACAAGATGGGCACAAGAGGTGTGGCAGGGGCTCTAAGTGCCAGTGCGCAGCCCAATCAGCAAGTACAGAAGGAGCTCAGACGGCAGTGCGGGCTGGGCTGGTCACCAAGGGTGAGGGGTTCAGTCAGATGAAGAGCAAGAGGGAGGGCATTCCAGGGAGAAGAACATGGTCTTTGCAGGATCATGCAGGACGTAGTGAGGTGGGAAGCAGTGAGCTCAGTGTCTGGCTGAGCAGAGGCTGAAAGGCAGAAGTGGAGGGAAAGCTGAGAATGGACAAGGGTCAGGTACTGGAGGGCCCTGAATGTTCTCGCCATCCTGCAGAGGGTGGTATTCATGTACTCTTTCCCCACTAGGGGTAAAAAGGTCACCTCTGAGGTCCGCAGCTCCATTTGGCGTCTGGCTGGGCCGGGAGGGTGAGTGCAAATAGAGAACATGGGTGGGCGTGAGACACACCAGAGGACAAAGTGTGCTTCACTTTCCTGCTGTTGGCAGTCCCGGGACCCTCCCCGCAGGAGCTGTGGCCTCAGGAAAGATCACAGGGCTGGGGAATCTTCAGAGAGTCACTGACCTCATCATGCCCACCAGCAACTTTCCAAGCTCCTCACAAGAGGTGTGCTGGTCAGTGGTTAACAGCGGGCTCTTGTGGGGTGGCGTGGGGTGGGACAGTGCTTTGTAGCACCTGGTGGTTTTCCTGGTGTAAATACTCCCACTGTGACTGATATCAAGCTACCAACACAAAGTCACTGAACTCAGAGCAGAGGAGAGTCACACTGTTGGCTGTTGTGAGCCCATCTGAGCATGCTCCAGCTGACCACTGCTCCCAGCTCTCCCGGGCCCATCACTTCACCAGTGGCGCTAGCAGGGACCCTGGGGGGAAGGGGCCAGCCACCCTGGGTGTCCCTGAGCCCTGGGGCTTAGTCAGCTCCAGTCATTAGTCCTGCGAGGGTCCCCAGGTGGGTCCAAGTGCTCCAGATATGGGCATCAAGGCTGTCGTCTTCCCAACAGTCAGAAAGCACCAGGGGCCCAGAGATCCTAAGTTAGACCTGGTTCCCAGAAGGAGGTTATGGAGAGAAAGGAGTGCAGATGTGACGTACAGGCTGCAGGCCTGGCCCCAGAGCTTGGTTCCCACAGTCATTTGATTGCCAGCCTTCATGATCACTTGTCAAAAGACCCAGCTTGGAATCTTGTGTCTTCTCCCCCCCCCGCCCCCACCTCTGCCCCTCCTGGGATGGACCCTAAGGGACTTGAGACAATGGCTTGGGGGCTGAGGGTACCCACGAGGAAGTACCACAGGTGCCCTCCTGTGCTGAGGGTGGTGGCTCAAGAGGGATGGGGGCTTCCCACTTCAGCTGCCCACTAGTGCGAGGATCGGGCTGCCTAGGGCAGCAGGCAGCTGGCCAGCTGAGGCCTTTGCCCAGATGTGGAACTGGGTTGGTGAGGTTGAGCCTTGGTAGCCCCCTGGACTCCCCATGTGAGTGCAGGGCCCCCAAGGATGCTCTTGTTGTCCCAAGAATCCTCACCCTTCTCTCCTGGTTGTCCCTCTTTCTTCACCACCTGCTATATAGGTTTTTCATCATCAAAGAGAGCTTTCTTCTTTACTACTCTGAAAGTGAAAAAAAGAGCTTTGAAACCAATAAACACTTCAATATACATCCTAAGGTGAGGGGGCCTCTCCCCAGGGCCACAGTGGGGAGGGCCCGGTGGGACACTGAGGGAGGGTGTTAGGGTGGAGGACTGTAGTCTGTGGTCTAACAGAGTCTGAAGGACTAATCCTTCTTGGGGCACAAGACCCCCTGCCCGTCCTGGGCTGGGCCCCCAACCTCCTGTGCCCAGGAGCCTGCCCCGCCCCGCCTCTCCTTTCTGGGAGAGTTCTCCTCTGGCTCCCAGCCTGGGGCCCTCAGCAGGACCTGGCTTTGGCTAAGGGCTCCCACAGGCCTTGAGTGACCTGGGCTGGGCGGGGTGAGAGCTGCCTGTTCTGGTTCTTTCTCAGGGCGTCATCCCTCTGGGGGGCTGCCTGGTGGAGGCCAAGGAAGAGCCCAGCATGCCCTATGCCATGAAAATCTCCCACCAGGACTTCCATGTGAGTAAAGCTCTCATCTCAGCCCGGGCTCAGCCGGGACAGAGCAGCTTCTCTGGGATTCTCTAGGTTCCTGGGGGCAACACCTCCATTGGCCTGGCCTGGGAGGGGTGTCAGTGCCGTAGGATTGCGGGGTGGGGGGAGCAGCACTGGGCTTGCAGAGGCCTGGGGCGGCCTCCGTGTCCTCAGAGCGGCCTTCTCTCAGGTGCACCGTGGCCCCTCTTCCTGGCAGGGGAACATCTTGCTGGCAGCGGAGTCTGAGTTTGAACAGACGCAGTGGCTGGAGATGCTGCAGGAGTCTGGGAAGGTGTAAGTGCTCCCAGCAGGAGGGCAGCCTGAGGTGCAGAAGGGGAAGGGGTGTGGGCTGGACTGACCCCGCTCGCTCTCTCTGCTGGGGTCCCGGCGGGCATTGAGGGCCCCAGGAGAGGGCAGGGTGGGGAGGAAAATGTCTGGGCCTCCTTGAGGACAAGGCTGTGGGAGTTGGGTAGGGTGGACAAGAGCATCTGTGAGGCGTCTCCTAAGTGAGCTTTGAGCAAAGTGAGCTTTGCTTGCCTAGGGCCACAGGTGGCAGACGTGGACTCCATTTGTCTCCCATTCTCAGAGTGAATCCAGCATCACCAGTAGGACTTGGCTGCCTCCCAACCCCCATCTCAGCTCCCCGGGCCCACCATGAATCCTAGCACAGACCAGAGCTTTGCAATCAGGGTCCACATCACAGAAACCTCCAGCCCAACACAGTTCATTCACACGCAAACCCCGGTCCTGGCGCCTGCCTGTTCAAGCTGGGTCATGCTTTTAGTTCTACAAATAACAGTGAGTGCGTGCCCCGGGCCAGGCTGCGCCGGATGGTGGGCATTCAGTGCTGTAGAAGGCAGCCAGGAAGCAATCTCTTCTTTGCTCAAAAAGTGCTGCTGGCCCAGCCCACGGTGGCCCACTTTGCAGCCTGGGCCAGCCTCCGGGGACTGAAACTGTGTGGGATAGACTGACCCCGCTCGCTCTCTCTGCTGGGGTCCCGGCGGGCATTGAGGGCCCCAGGAGAGGGCAGGGTGGGGAGGAAAATGGGCCTCCTTGAGGACAGGGCTGTGGGAGTTGGGTAGGGTGGACAAGAGCATCTGTGAGGCGTCTCCTAAGTGAGCTTTGAGCAAAGTGAGCTTTGCTTGCCTAGGGCCACAGGTGGCAGACGTGGACTCCATTTGTCTCCCATTCTCAGAGTGAATCCAGCATCACCAGTAGGACTTGGCTGCCTCCCAACCCCCATCTCAGCTCCCTGGGCCCACCATGAATCCTAGCACAGACCAGAGCTTTGCAATCAGGGTCCACATCACAGAAACCTCCAGCCCAACACAGTTCATTCACACGCAAACCCCGGTCCTGGCGCCTGCCTGTTCAAGCTGTGTCATGCTTTTAGTTCAACAAATAACAGTGAGTGCGTGCCCCGGGCCAGGCTGCGCCGGATGGTGGGCATTCAGTGCTGTAGAAGGCAGCCAGGAAGCAATCTCTTCTTTGCTCAAAAAGTGCTGCTGGCCCAGCCCACGGTGGCCCACTTTGCAGCCTGGGCCAGCCTCCGGGGACTGAAACTGATCCCTGCTGGTGGCATGCCCAGAGCCAGGGGTGCCAGGGGTGCCAGGGTGGATGAGAGCTGGCATCCTGGAGAGAAGGGATGGGCGAGTACAAAACACGCACATTCTCTTTCTCCTCTGCCCTTCTGTTTTCACGATTTTGTGTTTCTTCCTCTTCTCTCCTCTGTCCCATCTGCCCTCCCTCCCCAGGACTTGGAAGAACGCCCAGCTGGGAGAGGCCATGATCAAGAGCCTGGAGGCCCAGGGGCTTGGATGAGAGCTGGGATCCTGGAGAGACGGGATGGGCGAGTACAAAACACGCACATTCTCTTTCTCCTCTGCCCTTCTGTTTTCACGATTTTGTGTTTCTTCCTCTTCTCTCCTCTGTCCCATCTGCCCTCCCTCCCCAGGACTTGGAAGAACGCCCAGCTGGGAGAGGCCATGATCAAGAGCCTGGAGGCCCAGGGGCTGCAGTTGGCCAAGGAGAAGCAGGAGTATTTAGGTTGGCTGGAGGGACGGGCTGGGCTGACGCTCCCTGATGGTAGCACTTCAGGGCCAGGGGCTGTTGGAGGACCCAGCGGGGGTGTCTTGAGTGGGGCTTAGCGGGCTCCGAGGAGCCAGACACCAGCTTGGAGCCTGGAGAGCTTTATAATCAATGTCCTGTTGGCCAGCATGACAGGAGGCAGGAGAGCCTGGTGGTTTGGGGCCTGGGCTCTGGGCCCAGCTTTGTCACTTATCGACCAGCTATGTATGTCTTCAGGCAGCACAGCCTCTCTAAGCCTCAATTTCCTCTTCCCTGAAATGGGGACAGAAACAGTCCCTGGCTGTTGGAGTTGGTATAGGGATGAGTTACGTGAGAAAATGCCTGTAAGCACTGTCAGGCACGCAGTAAGGGCTCCATAAACGGAGTCGATGTGGTTGCCTTGCCCTGGACCCCAGATCCCGGGCTTGACTCCAGCTCTCACACCCCAGCCCACTTTAAACCTGACCACAAGGTTCCAGGCCCTTGTGCCCTGACTGGCTGGTTAGCATGCTGTTTGGGAAGGAAGAAGTTGAGTCTGAGGTTCGGTCCTTGTCCTGGGACCCTCTTCCCTGCCTCCTCCTTAGACACTTGGGGCCCCAACACTGGTTCCCCTTTGCCTGCTCCAAACCCATCAACCCCCAGGACTGCCCTTCCCCACGAGGCAGACACGAGTGCAGAGACTCCCTTGAGCTTCCAAGGACAAGGCTGTCCTTGACTTGTGAAGGCGCAATGCAGGGACAGTGACAGGAGGGAGGGATGCAGCTCCCACCCCAGGAGCTGGCCCCACCCTTCGGCTGGGCCGGTGCGGCTGTGCTGACCTCTTCTGCGGGAGATGCCGGGGTGACGGAGGTGACCGCGCCATCAGCCCCTCAGGACCGGGTCTGGAGTGGGCTTTTCCTGAGGGTGTGTGTGTTCCCTTTGGCAGACAAACTGATGGAAGAGACGGAGGAACTCTGCCTGCAGAGGGAGCAGAGAGAGGTAGGCGCCCACGGAGGCCGCTCAGAATTGCTGCCCTTTCCCACCCCTGCCCTGTCCATGGACCCCTACAGAGCCAAGGTGTCCTAGCTCATGTTCCTGGCATTCAGGGGTGGTGGGGGGAGCTGTGCACCCAGAGAACTGGCTGGAAAATCTGACCGCAGAGCAGGGAGGCCAGTGAGATGACAGTGCTTGAAACTGGCCGTAGCTTCTTGGCAGGGAGTGTATGTCTTCTAGGTGACGTCCTGGAGAGGAAAGGAAAGGGGGAGGTGGCCACCTGCTAGAGAAAGAGCCACCCCGAATGTTATTAGCTGCGTCGGTAGGTAATGAGCTGCTTGCCGTTGATGATAGTCACAGGAGGCTGGGTGGCCTCTATGAGTCATGGGGGGTTTCTGGCACCGTAAGAGTGATTGGGTTGGATGATCTCAGGGATTCCTTCATTCTCAAAGTGTCGATAATGCAAGTCCTGAGGGGACCAAGCATTGGCTTGAGGCAGCCTTATGGGGTGAAGGAGGCCCTTGCTTCATTTCAGGGTGGGGAGCCAGTAAAGTCCACTTCATTTGGAATCTCCGTGCATCACTGGGACTTGCTTGTTCTGAGGAATCATTACTTCCCCCCGGAAGGGTAGGGTGGTGGTTAGCAGTGGGGGCTCTGGAGCCAGGTTGGCTATGTATTGGACCTTCACCACTTCTAGCTGTGTGACCTTGGGCAAGTTACCTAACCTCTCTGAACATCAATATTCTCACGCGAACAATAGGGATAATAGTCCGGCTGGCGTGGCTCAGTAGTTGAGCATCAACCTATGAACCAGGAGGTCACAGTTCGATTCCTGGTCAGGAAACGTGCCCAGGTTTTGAGCTTGATCCCAGTGTAGGGCGTACAGGAGGCAGCCGATCAATGATTCTCTCTCATCATTAATGTTTCTTTCTCTCTCTTCCTCTCCCTTCCTCTCTGAAATCAATAAAAATATATTAAAAAACAAAGTAAAACAATGGGGATAATAACTGAACTGATCTTATTAGGGATGTTGTGAGGATTAAGTGAGATGTTAAATATAAAATGCTTGGTACATTGCCTGGCCAGAGTAGCTCAGCTGATTGAGCATCATCCTGTGCACCGAAAGGTTGTTCAGGTCCCAGACAGGACATGTACAAAGGCAACCAATCAATGTTTCTCACATCAATGTTCCTCTCTCTCCTCCTCTCTCTCTCTCTCTTTCCCTTCCTCTCTCTAAGCATGTCCTCGGTGAGGATTAAAAAATAATAATAATAAATAAATAATAAAATAAAATGTTTGGCACATAATGTGTGCTTAATGAATATCTGTGTTTGTTAGTGTTACAATCAGTTGTTATTAATTATGGACCCACCTTGCACGTGAATTGCCTGAGGCCCAAAGCTGCAGGGTGGCTTGCCCAGAGAACCCCACAGAGGGAGGCCACTGCTCTTTGCCCAGTTGCCTCTCCTTGTCCTCTCCCAGGCCAGTCACAGGGCTGGGCCATCAGCCTTGGCTCAGCGCCTGTCTCTCGACCTGACTCTTGCTTACTCCTCACCCTTCCCAGCCTCCCCTTACTGGTCTCTGAAACCGGCCGTACAGTCATGTCCCCATTATACCCCAGACATTCCCAGTCCCTGGCCCAGGCCAAGTGCTTCATAAATGTTTGTGGAGTGACTCAGTGAATGAACATGTTTTTAACTTTAAATAATTTTTTATTTTTCAATTATAGTTGACATACAATATTATACTAGTTTCAGGTGTACAACCCAGTGATTAGACATTATATGACGAAGTGCTCACCCTAATAAATCTAGTACTCGTCTGACACCATACATACTTATTACAATATTATTAACTATATTCTCTATGCTGTACTTTACATCCCTGTGACCATTCTATAACTACCAATTTGTACTTCTTAATCCCTTCACCTTCTTACCCATCCCCACAACATGTTCCCATCTGGCAACTGACAAAATGTTCTCTGCCTCTATGAGTTTGTTTCTATTCTGCTTTTTTATTTATTGATTTATTTTTTTTAGATTCTACATATAAGTGAAATTATATGGCATTTGTCTTCCTCTGTCTGACTTATTTCAGCACAATAACCTCTAGGTCCATCCATGTTGTTGCAGATGGCAAGGTTTGATTCTTTTTTTATGGCTGAATCATATTCCACTGTATATGTACACTACTTCCTCTTTATCCAGTCATCTATTGATGGACACTTAGGTTGCTTCCATAGCTTGGCTATTGTAAGTAATGCTGCAATGAACATATGGATGTATATCTTTTTGATTTAGTGTTTTGGGTTTCTTTGGATAAATACTCAGAAGTGGAATTGCTGGGTCCTCCTTTGTCTCTTTGTCTTAAAGTCTATTTTGTCTGGTGGAAGTATTGCTACCCCAGCTGTTTGTTTGTTTGTTTCTATTTTCATGTAATATACTTTTCCATCCCTTTACTTTCAGTCTGTGTATATTTTTCAATCTGAAGTGAGTCTCTTGTAGACAGCATATGTAAGGGTCTTGTTTTATTATCCATTCAGCCTCTACTAGTATACATCTTTTGGTTGGAACATTTAATCCATTTGCATTTAAAGTAATTGTTGATAGATATGTATTTATTGCCATTTTATTATTCATATTTTTATCTTTTATCTTTTTATTTTTTTAATATATTTTATTGATTTTTTACAGAGAGGAAGGGAAAGGGATATAGAGTCAGAAACATGGATCAGTTGCCTCCAGCACACCCCCTTCTAGGGATGTGCCCACAACCAAGGTATATGCCCTTGACTGGAATCGAACCTGGGACCCTTCAGTCTGCAGGCTGACACTCTATCCACCTAGCCAAACTGGTTAGGGCCTTTTTCTTCCTAAAGAATACCCTTTAACAATGAATGAGCATTTTTTATTTTTTTTATTTTACATTCCATCTTGACTAATCCAGTAGGACAATTCACCCTCATTTTTCTTCCAAAATTTTATCCGCTATTCTTGCCCATTTATTCTTTCAGCTGGACTTCAGAATCATGTTGTCAATTAACAACAGTAAAAAAAATCTAAATTCACCCTGGCCAATGTGGCTCAGTGGTAGAGCATAGCCTGTGCTCTGAAGGGTCACAGGTTCGATTCCCAGTCAAGGGTGCGTACCTGGGTTGCAGGTTCGATCCCCTGCCCTGCTCGGGGCAGGTGCAGGAGGCAACCAAATTAATGTGCCTCTCTTCCATTGAGATTTCTTTCTCTCTTTCTCTCTCTCTCCCCATCCCTCCCTTCCACTCTCTCTAAAAAATCAATGGAAAAATATCCTTGGGTAAGGATTAAAAAAAAAATCCAAATCCAAACAAACAAAACTCCCAAATCAAAACCTGTTGAGGCTTTGTGTTCGGATCGCATGGGTTTGAGGACTGACATGGTGACAGCAGCGGTCGGGCCTCCGTGTTTCCAGGTTCTCATTCTAGGTTCCGCTGTAGAGTTTTTCCATGCCATTCTGTACATTTTGAGAAGTGAGCCTTCTGGTGGATTATCAGCGATTTAAAGACAGGTAACTCAGGAAGCCAGGGGATGGGATGAAGTGACAGACACAGCCACTGGCAGGGAGAGAGACAGACTTATCCATCAGAGAGGCTAAATCTGGGGCAGCAGTCAGCCGCAGGAAAATTTAGACACTCTATCTAGGTCTTTAGCCAGGAAATGAGGACAGTGGGGACCCACTGCACACAGGCCTCGCTTAAAGCCATAGTACGCTGAAGGAGGGAAGCCTATCAGCTGTGAACTCCCTGGGTTTTGGGTACAGAATGTGAGTGAGCCTCACTCGGGGCCCAGCTGGTTCCTGAGGTGAAGGCTGCTCTGGGCAGGCCGGAGGGAGAGCACTGTGCCCCGGCTCGTAGTCCGGGTCAGCTGCCTGCTCCAGATCAGGAACAGAACTCACTGAGTCCTTCTGTCAAGGTTTTTCCTTCCTTCACTTAATCATCCATATAATGGATCTGCCTGTCCCCTGCACCTTTTCCCTGTCCACTCCAGGTCACGGAGATTGTCTGGCTGTGCCTTGTGCCACTTAGAAAGGCATTTGGGACAATGGCCCAGTGATGAGATGGAGATTCTCTGGGCTCTGAGAGGCTGCTTGGCCTAAAGGTGTGGGATCAGGAGACCCAGATTCGAGGTGTTTTTGTTTGTTTGTTTGTTTTGTGTTTTTTTAAGATATATTTTATTGATTTTTTACAGAGAGGAAGAGAGAGGGATAGAGAGTTAGAAACATCGATGAGAGAGAAACATCGATCAGCTGCTTCCTGCACACTCCCTACTGGGTATGTGCCCACATCCAAGGTACATGCTCTCGGCCAGAATCGAACCTGGGACCCTTGAGTCCGCAGGCTGATGCTCAATCCACTGAGCCAAACCGGTTAGGGCTGTTTTGTGTTTTTTTAAAATATATTTTTATTGATTTCAGAGAGGAAGGGAGAGGAATAGAGAGATAGAAACATCGATGATGAGAGAGAATCATGGACCGGCTGCCTCCTGCACGACGCCCCCCAGGGATCGAGCTCGCAACCCGGGCATGTGCCCTGACCAGGAATCGAACCATGACCTCCTGGTTCATAGGTCAACACTCAACCACTGAGCCATGCCAGTCGGACATCGAGTTTCAACTCTACCACTGACTGTATGGCCTGGGGCAAGTTAGTCTCTCGGACCTTCAGTTTCTCCATCTGTGATGCTCTGATAACAGTAATGGCTGTGCCTACCTAGTTCCTGGGTCGCCGTGAGGCTCAATGAAATAGAAAGCAGGGAGTGCTTGGTGAACTGGCAAGGCCCATGCAGATGTGTACTGTGAGATGGTGCAGCCCTGACACCTTCCATGTAGCAGAAAGGGCATGAGCAGAGAGTGCAGGGGCAGCCAACCTGGGCTCATCTGCCCAGGGCCAGAAGACCATGTTCTTTCTGAGTCCCAGGTCCCTCTGGTGTCCCTGGCTCCTTGTGTTCTTATCTCTCTCACTCCCCGGAGGAGGGCAGCCTGCCTATTTTTTCTTTTTTGGCCGAACTGTGAGTGCTCAGCCTTGCACATGAGCAGGCTCATGGGAAATCAGAAGTGCCGAGGGGCAGTCAGGCAGGGTTCTTGCTACCTGGGGTGCTCCAGTCAGAACACAGTCTCTTGGAGTCGGAAAATACCTCCACTTCAAGGTGAGGCTCTTTGCTGACCTTCCTGATGGATATTGATCCTGATCCTGTGACCGTTACCTTTGCATTATGTCTCCGTTATTTGAAAGTTCTTTCTTTCATTGAGCTGGGATTTGCCATCCAGTGACTTCTTTCCAACCTTATACTCCTGCAACTTAAGTCAGGCCCAAGAGTCAGAACAAACACTGTATGATGGAGAAAGGCTTTTGCTGAAGCAGGTCTTGGCTGACCTCAGCTGTGGCAAGGTTGCTACAAGCACTCATGCCATCCTGGGCTGCAGAACAGAAGGTTCTGGATGCTCCAAGTTTATAGGTTGGGGGTTTCACTCTAATCAGCATTCTCGGGCTGCACCTGGACATCGGCTTCATTTAGGAGCCGTACAGGTGAAATGAAAGGTGGAAAAGAAGTGAGCAGCCGGGACGGAGAGTGTCTTTCTTTTTCCTCTTTAATACATAACCTTTTACTAATGGTAGAAATCATGCTCTTTGTGGAAAACAAACTTATCCTTAATCTCACCATTGACAGACAGCTTCTGTCAACTTCTCTGTGTTTCTTTTCAGTCTTTTAAAAATGTATTGTGTGTGTATATATATATATCTTAAGCTTAATAGGATCATATCAGATATTCCGTTTTATGGCCTGCTTTTTCATTATACCTTTATTAACTTGTACATCCAGCAATTTTTCATGTCATTCAGCATTCTTTGAAAACATCTGTTGTAGTGACCATGTACTGATTCGTTAATATGTGATGTTTCATTTAATTAATCTTCTATTTCTGGACATCTCGGCTGTTTTCACTATTATAAATTACACCACAGTGAACAACCTTATATATCAATCCTGATCTACTTTTATAATTATTTCTTTTAAAATTATTTTTATTTTTATTTATTGATGAGAGAGAGAGAAAGAAACATTGATTTGTTATTCCACTTATTTATAAATTCATTGGTTGAATTTTGCATGTGCCCTGACTGGGGATCAAACCTGCAACCTTGTTGTATTGGGAAACTCTCTCACCAACTGAGCTACCCAGCCAGGGCCTCTAATTATTTCTTTTAAAAATATATATATATTTTTATTGACTTCAGAGTGTGCCCTGACTGGGGATCAAACCTGCAACCTTGTTGTATTGGGAAACTCTCTCACCAACTGAGCTACCCAGCCAGGGCCTTCTAATTATTCTTTTAAAAATATATATATATTTTTTATTGACTTCAGAGAGGAAGGGAGAGGGAGAGAGAGGTAGAAACATCAATGATAAGCGATTATCATTGATCAGCTGCCTCCTGCATGCCCCACTCTGGGGATGTGCCCTGACCAGGAATCGAACCGTGACTTCCTGGTTCATAGGTCAATGCTCACCACTGAGTAACACCAGCTGGACTAATATCTTTAGGATAGATTCCTGTAGGTGGAATTACTGATGCAAAGGGCAAAAACCTCTAAGACTCCCGATTAGATGAGCTAGTTTCCTGGAAACACATTCCCTTAGGGGGAAAAAGATTCCTGATGCCTATTGCCAAATTGCTTTTCAGAAACTTTGTACCTATTTACCAGTACACTCTTATTAGCAGTGTGTGGACATTTTCATGGCATTTTAATAATTTACTTTCTCCCATTTTCAATTACAAAAGATATCCCAGCCCTGGCTGGTTTGGCTCAGTGGATAGAGCATCAGCCTGTGGACTGAAGCATCCCAGGTTCAGTTCCGGTCAAGGGCACATGCCTGGGCTGTGGTCTCAATCCCCAGTAGGGCCCGTGCAGGAGGCAGCTCATCAATGATTCTCTCTCATCATTGATGTTTCTATCTCTATATCGCTCTCCCTTCCTCTCTGAAATCAATAAAAATATATTTATATATAAAAAGATATCCCAGTGTCATGGTAAGTACAGGGAAATATTTGTAAGTCAGAGTCCTGGAGAAAGGGGCTCTCCAGGGAGAAGAAACCAAGGGTGTGGGTGGCATCCTCCAGCTGGGTCCTGGGTGACCTCTTCTGTACCATCAGAAGCCAGGTGCCTACAAGAGCCGGGTGCCTATTAGGGCCAGCTAGCTTCCCTGGTGGTTTTTCAGGTCTAAACTCAGGGATGCTTGCAGCCTATAACTTCCCCGATCCCCTGAACAGCCCTCCCACAGCAGGCAGAGGCCACAGAGAGGTTTATCATCACTAGCAGTACAAGCTAGTGTCAGCTACTGAGGATGTATCAAAATAGAGGTTTTTCAAACTTTTTGAAACTCTGAACTTTTCTTTCATTAAAAAGGGGGGGGGGTTACAAGCATAAAATTTTAATTATATTTATATTATGTCTATATATGGCTGTGTCTACTGCAATGACACAAATCTCCAAAATATTGGTGGCTTTGAATGGTGACCATCTATTTCTCACTCAGCTACCTGGGTCAGCTGGGGGCTCTGCTCCACATCTCCTCTCAGGGATCCAGGCGAATCAAGCCTCCATCGTTTGCAGCAACAGTGGCTACCATGGAAGGGGAAAGAGAACATAGCGTGTCAGGCCCTGTCTCTTAAAGGCATCTGCCTGGAAGGGACATAATTCTGCTCACATTCCATTGGCCTTAGCCAGTCCCATGGGCCCGCCCAGCTTTTGCAGGTACACGGTGGCTGTGCGGTGTGCCCAGAGGGGCATCAGAATGCCAGTGAGCAGCCCTCACGGTGACCATCAGTGAGCCACACCAAGAGAGACAATGATCAGAAAGAAAAACTTCTTTGGGTAAGAAGCTTGTGGTGACCATCAGTGAGCCACACCAAGAGAGACAATAATGATCAGAAAGAAAAACTTCTTTGGGTAAGAAGCTTAGGAAAGGAGGGCTTGGGGTTTGGAATCAGATCTTCCCTTTCCTTTAGGTTTTATTCTTTCTCTGTATCTCTCAAAGCCAATGGCAGCTTCTCCCACCAGCCAGCCCCACTCCTAGGTGGGGTTTCCATGATCCTTGAGAACAAAGCCCCTGGGTGAAAAATGAGAGTATCATTTGGAGCTAGAAGATGAGAAAGGAAGTGGATCTGGAAGTAATATCCTTCCACAGTGTGAAATGTGGAGGAGCAAAGCAGTCATCACAAACAGGCTTTGTTCCAGCCAGGCTTCACTTGAAGTGTACCCCCAACACCCCCTGCCATCGGAAGTCAGAAAACAGGAGCCCTGAGGCCACATGCTTGATGGGAACACCCTTGCGCCAGCATTCCTGGAGGGACTGGTTGGGCCCCTGGGGCCAGAGTGTCCTGGGCTTCTGGCTCTTCTGTTCCCTTGGAGCTGAGTAGAGGGGAGGCTGCAGCCACCTGTGCTCATTGCTTCGAAGATGCTGTGAGAAAAAATAATGACTTTTGGGGTGGGAATGGCTTCTCTTTGCCACTTCTAATAGATGTCACTTCAAAGATCTTTAAAGGAAATACATACTCCCCACTCTATCCTCCGGGACTTGAGGGCCAGACAATGTGCCTTAGGGTGTGAGTGCCATCTAGAATTATCATCGCGTCCAGTCACAGGAAATAATGCTGGGATCATTTCTAAACCCTGCCTTCAGCTTGCTGAGTGAGCCCAGGTCATCACAGGTTTTGGTTTGGAGACTGTGTCATTGAGGAGACCAGGGCTCAGCAGAACTCAATTTCATGTTTGGTCCAGCGCATGCCCCAGGCTGTGCTGAATCCCAGAGGGTCCCCTGGGTTAGAGTGGGGGTTCCCTTTGCTGCCGGTGACTCTTGCTTCTCTCTATTCTCTTCAGGAGCTCGAGCGCCTTAACCAGGTGCTGGAGGCTGAGAAGCAGCAGTTTGAGGAGGTGGTGCAGGAGCTGAGAATGGAGCAGGAGCAGATCAAGAGGTGGTGGTGGTGCCGCGGGAGGGCGGTGCATCTGGGCTAGTATGGCATCAGGAACCGCGCTCCTAGTCAGCCCTGGGGAGGCCCCCGCTCAGGAGGTCCTCTCTACTTGATGACTTGGTTTGGTCTATCTTCCCAATGCTCCAGGCCTCGGGGTGTGCCCAGAAAAAGCTGTAGTTCCCACACAAATGGGCCACTTCTGCCCACTGAGGCATGAGGCCTGGGCAGGTGCAGACAGGCCTCCCCCAAGCAACAAGCCCTCCTGCCGCTGTCAACCCTTCCTTTCCCGGGGCAGACAGGACAAGCTGGTCTGCAGGTGCCATTAGCCAAGATCCCCAACATTCCCTGTCTCTCTTGTGCAATCCCTTCACCTTCTGGCTAGTGATATCCCTTGGGATCTTTAGTCCTGTGCATGGTGTACAAACCAGTTGCACATTATGATCATTTAACAGAATTAGAGTCTCCTAAAGGTAGAGCCCAGGTATCCATATTTTTAAGAAGCCCCCAGGTCATTCTGATGCAGCCTATTCAGGAATGTGGGGACCCCTGCTCTGGGGACGGTGATGGTGATATGATTATCCTCATCATTATCAATCATTAGTGATAGCCCAGAAAGACCTTTCTTGCAACAATCTTACAAAGGAAGTCATTTGATATAAAACTGAGGGAGGGAGAAGCTCAGAGAATCTTACCAAGTAAATAGCCAAACACCTGCTCACTTTCAGAATTGTGCCAGACCCTGGAGTAGAAGACTAGTCCTCTCCCTGAAGATGTGGTGGGGAAAACCAGACTGACACCCGGGAAACATCAGCACAATAATATATAACCAAGTGCTCGGAGGCACGGGGCAGCCCTGTGTTCCAGGAACTAAGATAGATGCATAATCCTGATGGGCTTGAGCGGAGATTGGACTGAGCTGGGCCTTGAAGATGGATTTGGAAAATTGGGCAGGAGAAAGGGAAAGACATTCCAAGCAGGAGGAGGGGAGACCAGGTGTAAAGACCTGAGGTGGCCCAGGCTTGTTAAGAAAGCAACAAGAGTTTGTCATCCCAGAGAAAGGCCTCTGCCATGTCCCATGTCAGTGTGTGGGTTCTAGCAGGGACAGCAGGGTGAGACCCCTATGTTCCCCAGTGCTTCTCTGCCTGTGGGTGCCCCTGGGTTTACCCCACTGACAAATGCATGAGTATCGAGAGCAAGTGACTTCAACCCCACTTGGCGGGGATCTCCTTTCAGCCCGGGGTCCCTACATCTGCTGGCAGGACCCAGCCATGCGGAGGGGCTGGCCTTCCCAGGACCCCACTGAGCCTTATTGGGAGGTGAAACAAGCTATTCTAGGTACAGAGGGGACAAGGAGGGGTGAGGCCGCCATACTCATACCCTGTGTCCCCACAGGGAGCTAGAACTGACTGCAAGATGCCTCAAGGGTGTGGAGCAAGAGAAAAAGGAGCTGAGGCACTTCACAGAGTCCTTGCAGCAGACGCTGGAGGTGAGGGGCCGCTGGCGGGCTGGTTGGTGAGGCCGCGGGATACTGTTTTTTCTAACTGTTTCCCTAGTTACTGAGTCATCTGCAAGGGTAACAGGGCGCCAAAGGGCACTGACCTAAGGGACTCTTCTCTGTGGATGTTTGGGAACTCTAGCCGACTCAAGTTTGCCCTTGCTATGACCATGGCCTCAGGAAATCCACCTTCTTCAGTGCTTACATTTTTTTACAGATGGAGGATTGATCAGGATGGGAGGCGGGCCGCCCACCACTTCCTTCTTGTGGCTCATTCATTGAGCTGATCCGGGTGAAATTGAGCAGGAAGGGAAATCGGCTGCCAGGTCACCTCCATTTGATACCCACAGAAACTGGGGGTATGTCCTTGGCATGTGTCAAGGACAAAGAGCCAACTCTCCAGGATGGCATGCAAGTGCAGACTCTGGCCCCAGCCTCTCCTCCACTGTTGCCCTCTGCTGCCCTTCCACACCCAGAGCAGACACCGCCCCCTATCCCACATGCCCCCCGGAAAGCAAGTGCTCTCATCCTCCACACCTTTGCCCATACGGTCCCTTCTACACATGTCCTTTCACCTCTTTTTTGCCTGGAGAACTCTTTCATCCTTCTCAGGTGCAGACAGGCTTGGACATCACGCTGGTCAAGCTTCCCTGCCTCTGCGTAGCAGGAATTTGCCCTGAGCTCTGGGCTCCCACAGCACTTTGTTATGGCACTGAACGCACGAGGCTGTGTTTTCTAAACTGTGAGCTTCACTAGGCAGTGTCTTAAGGTCTTTGCAAGCCCAGCACTTAAAGTGAGCTTGGCATGTCAGGGGGATCTCAACGTTTACTGAATTAATGAACTGCCTGGCAGACTGCAAGGGTTTCTTGTCTCTCTTCGCGGACTGGGGCTTTGTTTGTGGTGCCTTTATTTGTTTACCTTTCTCCATTTCATATCATAGGAGGTGGTTCCCTTGAATGGTTTCAACTCCAGAATTTCCGGGATGTGCAAGATCCCAGTCTGATAAATGGGGAGAACATAAACCAGCTCTTAGTCTGGTCCTGTTGGGTGTTTTTCACGTGACCCCAACACATTCCTTCACTTGCTGCTGGAGGAACAAGAACCCCAGAGGGTCATGGTGCCCTTGGGTCTTGGTGCCCCCTGGTTATAGTTGGGTCACTTCCCCTGGAAGCCTCATTGGGCTCCTCGCTGACTCTCTCGATGGAGGGGTAACCTTGCCATGTTGTGAGGAAGGAGATCTTGGTTGGCCTTTTACCTCAAGGGAAGAATGGAGACATTCCAGGTGTCCCTCATACAGGACTGAGAGTGGAGGGCACCACTCCCTGGAATTGGAAGGCAGGTGAGGGAAACCATGGTGGGGAGCCTAAATTAGGCTCTTTCTCTTCCTTCTCTCCCTTCTTCCCATCCCTCCATGCCAGGAGCTCTCCATAGAGAAGAAGAAAACCCTGGAAATGCTGGAGGAGAATGAGAACCAACTGGAGACACTGGCCAATCAGAGCGAGCAGCCCTCTCCCAGTGGGGGTCTCCATAGCAACCTGAGGCAGATCGAGGGGAAGATGCAGCAGCTCTTGGAAGAGAAGCTCCTGGCAGAGAAGCGGTGAGGAGCCCTGGACCCATGGGTCCATGATGGGCTTTGGGGATCGGCAATTTCCTTGAACTGGACACCTGGACTTTCGGGTTCTAGTTGCCATTGCCCAGATAGGTCACTCACTCCCTTCTGCCCAGGACTCAGTTTTCCCACCAGGCAAATGGGAAGAGAACCTTCGCTACCCAGAACTGACTGGATCATTATCTCTTGCAAAGGTGTGAGCTATACAGACACTCACTAGGTCCATAACAGTGCTTTGTGGCCTGCTGGGAAGGTCCTCTTAGATCCCTTTTACAGACGAGGACACTGAGCCTTGAGAGTTCTAGGACTTTCCTGAGGTCACAGAACCGGCAAGACCTGGACCCAGGACTGAGGTTTTCTGACTGTAAGACAGGCTCTCCTCACCTGACCACACTGCTCCCCTCATCACCTGGGTGACAGCACCCAGAATGTTTGGGGGCTCCTGCAGCCTGGGCCTCAGATTTCTTCAGCCAGTTCTCTCTGAGGGGCTGTCCTCCCAGTGGAAACCCCCTTTGGTGAGTGAGCCCTGACTGAGTGCCTTTCCCGGGCAGGATGAAGGAGAACGAGGAGCGCTCACGGGCCCTGGAGGAGGAGCGTGAGTTCTACTCCAGCCAGTCCCAGGCGCTGCAGAACTCGCTGCAGGAGCTGACAGCACAGAAGCAGCAGGCCGAGCAGGAGCTCAAGGTGCCTCCCCTCACCTCCCTGCACTTTACCAGCAACTACCTGAATCATCTCTGCCCACCTGACCAGCCAGGGGCAGGGATGGAGCCACGAGGGGAAGCAGTGGGCCTGCCACTTCTGTGGGGCACCATTGCTGGGTGTGGGGTCGAGTCCAGGCCATCTGGGCAAGGGTGTAAGACAGGAGGCAGGAGGTAGTAACTTCCACCCACGTCCAAAGGCGAGAAAGCCCACTCGAGTCAGGGGTCATCAGGCAAGGCTTCCAGGGGAGATGGCAACTGCCCCTCAGAACCCCACATCTCTCCTTCCCTCTCCCTTCAGGCCGAGGTGAAGGTCCGTATGGACCTGGAGAGACGTCTGCGGGAGGCCGAGGCGGCCTTGAGGAGCCTGGAACAAGGCCTCAACTCCAAGGTGCGGAACAAGGAGAAGGAGGAGAGGATGCGGGCTGACGTGAGCCATCTGAAAAGTAAGCTCTGCCCTCGGTGCCCGGCCCCTCAGCCTGTGGACAAGGGCTAGTGCCCCCACACAGGGCCTGGTGTGCATTAGATGGTCTATCAGTGGTCGGCAAACTCATTAGTCAACAGAGCCAAATATCAACAGTACGACGATTGAAATTTCATTTGAGAGCCAAATTTTTTAAACTTAAACTATATAGGTAGGTACATTGTTATTAACTTAATTACGGTACTCCTAAGGCTTAGGAAGAGCCACACTCAAGGGGCCAAAGAGCTGCATGTGGCTCTCGAGCCGCAGTTTGCCAACCACGGGTCTAGATATTCATGGAGTGTCTCCAGGTTCCTGCCTGCCAGCATCTTCTTGATGCTGCTTCCTTTCAGCTGTAGGACCTGGGGAGGGGGCAGGGGAGAAAGCCTGCAGTTCTGCCCCCTCCAGCAGGTGGCTCTGGTCTCCCAAAGGATGGGCTCTAAGGGTTTCTCGATTCCTGGCACCTGGATCCTGGGCGGGGCGGGGCGGGGCGGGGCAGGCCGGCAGGAGGGGAAACGCAGTGAACTTGGGCGCAGGGTTCTTCGAGGAGTGCATCCGGAACGCCGAGCTGGAGGCCAAGATGCCGGTCATCATGAAGAACTCCGTGTACATCCACAAGGCGGCCACGCGCCGCATCAAGAGCTGCCGTTTCCACCGGCGCCGGTCCACCGCCTCCTGGAACGACAGTGAGTGTGCCCGTGGGGTGGGGATGGTCACAGGCCGCAGTGACACAAGGGAAGAGGGCAGGGTGGGAGGGCTGGCCCAGCTCTGAGGCCGGACAGTGTGGCCTTGACCCTGCCCCACCAGCCTTGGGCTTTTCCCAGGGTTAGGGGAGCCGTGGGTGGGAAGGGGCTGTGGGCTGGGATTGGGGGCAGGGCCACGCCTTGTGGAGGAAGGACTTCACCAGCGGTGGGGCCATCGTCTCCCCAGTGAAGCCGTCCCAGTCCTTCATGACCTCCCAGCTGGAAGCCAACAACATAGAGGAGCTGAAGGAGGTGGCCAAGCGGCTGAGCCGAGACCAGCGCTTCCGGGAATCCATCTACCACATCATGGTGACTCAGCCCGGACCATCCTCAGCGCTTCCTCTTCCTCGGGGTGGAAAGTGATGGCTGTCCTCCCGGCCTCCCGGGTCTTTCCTGGGTGGGGCTGGGAAGACGTGCAGGGGGAGGCTGACTACCTGGCTTCTCTCAGCTCTCCTCTGGGCCTGCGCCTCACCCTCAAAGGACAGGGATGCCACCTCCCTTACCACCCCTACCCCAGACCCTGCCCTTGGGTCTATGCCAGGCCCGTGCAGGCCCCAGCTGGGTGCTGCCCGGTTGTCAGGATGAGGCCAGGAAGAGGCCTGGTTGCATGTGGAGGCTTGTTTTCTCGGTTGGGGAGTGAGGTGGGCAGGCCCACAGCTCTCTGTCGTGCCCACTCTACCTCTCTGTGACTCGCCACCTGCCCGTCCTGGTGTGTGAAGGCCTCCCCTCCCCACCTTGACCCTTGCTTCCTGGGGGGCTTCCTGACCCTCTCTTTGCTTCAGCGACCCACAGACATCCCTCAATTGGGGGCCCTCGCGTTGACCACATTGTGAGGCAGGAAGAAAGACCTAGGGCAGCAACTCCAGGTACATGGCACACTCCACCCCACAGTATCACCTTTCCTGAGGTTGGGCGCTGGCTGTGGGATCACCCGCTCACTCCCCTCCTCACCCATCTACAGCCTCAGACCTATGAGGGTGATGCAACCCTCACCTCCCCCCTGCATCCCGCCTGCTTAGGTACGTAGGGCTCTGGGCCCTGGCTGGGAGCTGGGGCAGCAGGGACAGGGAGAGCTCTCCCAGAGGATGCAGGGCAAGTCAGGGAGTGGATGAAGGCGGCCCTGGCTCCTTCACTATCTTCTCTTGATTGAACAGGGAGGCAGCTCCCTCTGGCTACAGCAGCCCTGCTGGTCCGTGGGGTCACAGACCACTCCCTCCAGCTGACCCTGCTTTGGTGGCCTTACTCCACCTCTCCCTGCAGAGGCTTTACCCAGTGAAGCAGTGTGACCATGAACCCTGGAAGATGGGGGCCTGGGCCTGTGACATGGCCAGTAGCCATTGGTTGGCCCCAAGTCATCAGGGGTGAAGCTGAAACATCCATCGCAGCTTTTGTGGAAAACCACCACCCTCCATGAGGCTGAGGCTGTGTGTGTCCCTCACCCATGGACAGTCTACCCAGCTCTTCTCCCTCTAGAACACCCTTCAAAGCTTCCTGAGTCTGTTGGTCTCTCCAGAAAGGGGTGTCTGTGGGATCGGGGTGCTCAGGGACACTGGTGGTATGAAAGGTGCTGATTCTCTGCTGCTTGGAAAACCAAGTGAGGAGCCCAGCCTGAGAGAGAGTCAGATGGCTGCAGGGGAAGTCCCGTGAGGCGCAGGTCCCTGGGGAAGAGGAGTGTTGCTGGCTCGTGTCCACTGCTCTGTGCTCAGACCTGCCTGATGAAACTAACCTCAGTGGTCCCTCCTCAGGGGCGGGTGGACTTTGATGGCTTCAGCCAGTCTCTTCGGAGTTTAGTGGGGGACGGAAGGGGGAGGCTTCAGAATCAATGCATCTAAATAAATCGGAGTCTAAATGTAAAATCTTTAAACATGTAGAAAGCTGCATAAACCTGCAAATAACTTATCTAATATGTATGTAGGATGGACTTTGAAATGAGGGGGAAGGTTGATAAAAGCAAGATTACTGGTTTATTTTTTTTGTTTCTTTGTTTTTAAAGAATTAGATTAATAATGATTTGCTCTTGGAGAAAGATCTTTTGGAAACTTTCAAATGATTTCCCCCTGTCCCTCCAGGCAAATTATTAACCAGAAAGGAAAATGTTTTTCCATGCACATTCAGCAATTCCTAGTTTCTTTCCTTCTGTTTCATCCTGTACTTAACCGTGCCTCAGGCAAAAATCTTGGTTCTCTTCAACCAACTGGTCAATTCATAAGTATTTATTTGTTAAAAAGTCACTATGTACCTAGCACTGTAAATAGAAAAAGAGCAAAATACTATATGAAAATATGCAAAGGTGGAAATTGCTTACTGGAAATATATTGATTTGATTTTTTTTTTTAAAAAAAACAAAAAAAACAAAACCCCTTATTCCTTGGCCCATAAAGTGTTTCCTGCAGTATTCCTTGTGGTTGGTCATTGCTGAAGAGATGTTGCCACCTGCAGGCCAAGTGTTGAATTACAGAAATGCTGGCTTGTACTCGGACATGCACCCACGTTTCTGGGCATATGAGGAAGTACTCCCAGCTGCTGCACCTCCTAGGACTGGCTTCTAAATAATTAACTGAAAAATATGTTCCCACCCGAGGTCCTGGATGTCCCCATGTAACAAGGGCTATCAGCTGGGTGTTCTGATTTGAGCACAGACCACGCTTTGGTGTTGTAATCATGTAAGGAAGAGCAAGAAATAGTAATGACTGGTTTCTCCTGTGTGGTTTATTTCCGGATGCAATAGATGATCTGTCATCGTGCCGGGACTGCCTTGGTTTGTGCTGTGTCTCAGAAAATTAAGAACGGCTCCCCCGTTTGCTATCCTAAGTGTTCCAGTTTGGATGAGAGTTCCGTGGTCATCCGCTTTCCCCCGATGATATGTTAGTGGGTGAAGCATGAGACCTGTAAAATATGGGGTTCTGCCCCTGGGAAGGGTCCACTGTCTGTACTTGTCTCTGGAGGATGTAATTCTTGCCCCCCACCATCCTATCCCACCCACCTCCACAGGACCTGGGCAGCCTGTGGGTGCTCAGATACCATCCCCATGAAATTTGGAGCCCCTCCTCAAAGAGGAGGAACAGAAGCTTGCTCAAGTCTCTGGGTGTGTCGGATTTGGTGTAACTAGATACTAGAAGGTAGTTCTTCAAACCCACCAGATGAGGGGGCTGCTCTGGAGACCTCAGATAAAGGCCAGCAGCCCCTGGGGAAGCTTATGCTTCTGTGATGAGCCAAGATGGTGCTGTTCAGACCCTTGAACCACTGCAAGGGTTCCCCAAAGTGAGAAACCCTGCAGGTTTGGCAGGGTGGGTGTGGGAAGCTGTGAATGTCCTTTGAAGGCGCTGGGAGAAGATACGGTGTTGGGGAAGCTGCTGACTTCTCTTATCTCACCCCACCCCTGGGGATGAGGGGAAAGGAATGTCCTTTGAAGGCGCTGGGAGAAGATACGGTGTTCTTGACACATGGAAACAGACCCACTCCCAGACATCTAAAGCAACTGGTTATTCAAACTGCCTAGCAGGTGTGGATAGGTGTGATGTAATGTTTCAGATTCAGTTCCTGGCTCTTTGCACATCCCTTCTCCCCTTCCCTTCCCTAGACTTGGGCTTCCACTCATGAGCTCCCCTTTCCATCCTGCTGGGTTAGACGTGCTCAGGGGCAGTTCAGGAAGCACTCCAAGCCCAGGAATCCTAGGGGTTGTGGGTCAATAAACTAGATCCCCTTGTGGTGAATTCTCCCTGCACTGTCACTAGTGTCTGCTACAGTCTGGCATCCTGTGTCCCTCTGGCTCTGCCTCTGGGTGGGACTGGACAGTCAGGCAATCAGGTGGGGAAGTTGGAAGGAGACAGGGCTGCTCAAAGGCTGGACTTCAGGGCCCCCTCAGGGATTCCAGGAGGTACCCAGGTAGTAGCAGAGCCAGCTGGAGTGCCTTTGGGGCTCCTGCTCTCTTTGTACTCCGCCTTACTTCCCCTGGAGGATCTGACACCTGCCTCAGGGCTGAGCCCTGCTGTGAACAGACTCAACTGCCCTCTTATCTTATGGCTGATGGGCCTCAAGGGTCACTGACCACAAGGAGAAACTCCTCTTGCAGAGCAGTGACCTTGTCCACCAGCAGCTTAGGGGAGGAAGCTGCCACGCTCTGCCTGCTGCTGTGGGAGTGGAAGAATGGGAGGTGTGTGTGTGTGTGTGGGGGGGGCGGGTTCTGAAGGTAAAAGGTCAGGCCTTGGATTCACCTCTTTCCAGCTGTGGCTTTTGCGGTGATTATTTAAAATGTCTTATATATACAGCCCAGCCGGCGTGGCTTAGTGATTGAGCGTCAACCTATGAACCAGTTGCGGGCTTGATCCTCTGGGGGGCATGCAGGAGGCAGCTGATCAATGATTCTCTCTCATTGATGTTTCTATCTCTCCCTCTCCCTTCCTCTCTGAAATCAATGAAAATATATATTTAAAAAATTAAATGTCTTACATATTCATAAAATTCTTATTAAGTAGGATATACACCTCAGATCTCACCAGCTGCTCAGAGCCCCTACAGTTCTGAAGCTGTGTGATCTGGGAACTTGCAACCCTGGATTCAATAGAACATTCTGGCTCAGGCTGGATTTGGTGCCATGCTGTTATCAGATGAAATAAAAAAAATAATTTTTTTTTAGTTTAGAGGTGAGAATAGGAAAGAGACTGGTTTATCACCACAAGGTCGTTGTGACTAATGGCTTTTGCTTGGAAGGCTTTCCTGGGAAAGGAAAGGTATCCATTCTCGTGTTCACCCTGTTGTCTGTGACCATCTGTCAGCATCACTTCCTTTCATCTTCATTCAGTAAATATTTACCAGGATTCTGTCATGAAGTCAAGCACCGACCATGTGCTCATCCCTATTGCTTATTGATGTGTTTTTTTTTATTGTGGTAAAATATACATAATATAAAAGTTACCATTTTAACCGTACAGTTTAACAATGTAAGGCATATTTACATTATTGTGCAACCAACTCCAGAACTTCTCATCTTGCAAACCTGAAATTCTACATCCATTAAACTACTCCCTGTTTCTCCCTACCCCCACCCGCTTGCCACCTCCATTCTACTTTCTGTTTCTGTGACTTTGACTACTTCAGTTACCTCGTGAAAGTGGAATTGTCATTATTTGTCGTGTGTGTGTGTGTGTGTGTGTGTGTGTGTGTGAGACTAGCTGCTTATTTCACTTAACACAATGTCCTTGAGGTTCATCCATGTTGTAATTTACTTTTATTACAAAAATTTTATTGGTTTTTAGAGAGAATGGGAGAGGGAGAGCGAGAAAGAAACATTGATGTGAGAGCTGAGCAGCTGTCAGCTGCCTCCTGCATGCCCCCTCCCTGGAATTGAGCCCAGCAGCCCTGGCATGTGCCCTGACTTGGAATCCAACCGGCAACCTTTCAGTGCATGGGACGATGCTCAACTAACTGAGCCGCTTGGGCCAGGGTAGAATTTCCTTCCTTTTTTTTTGTTTTTGTTGTTTGTTTTATTTTTGCAACAGAGATCAGCTTTTATTGAATGTGTTACAAAAGAGCTAATTTAGTGAAAAAGACCAAAGCCCTTGTCATCATTAGACTCCTCAAATTCTTTCTTTGCTTCCACTTTCTTCTCAGCTGGGGCAGCAGCGGTGGAGGGGGCAGGACCAGGGTCCCCCAGCCCCTACATTGCAGATGAGACTCCCAATGTTGACCTTGGCCAGAGCCTTTGCAAACAAGCCTGGCCAGAAAGGTTCAGCATTTACACCAGCGGCTTTAATGAGGGCGTTGATCTTATCCTCCGTCACCGTCACTTCATCGTTGTGCAGGATCAGGGTCGAGTAGATGCAGGCGAGCTTCCAGACTGAGGCCATGGTGAGGGTGAGTGCTGGGCGAGCGCTGCCGGGAGCGGTGCTAGTCTCCGGAGGGCCTCACCCCAACGCAGGGCCTCACCCCAACTCGGCCGTAGCTTCCTCAGAAGAACCCAGCACCTTACCGGCAGCTGGAGAAAGGGGGCAAATTTCCTTCCTTTTTAAGGCTAAATCATATCCTGTCACTTTTCAAAAGAAAAATTGATTGAAATCTTATTTTTCTGATGAACTGCTGGCCAGGTGAGAGGGGCACCTGTCTTAAAGGATAAGAATCACAGCGCGGGGGAGTTGGGTCCCTGCTTCCCCTTTCCCAGGTTTGTTCCTCACCATGGCCGGTGTCAAAGCTTTGGTGTCACTCTCCCCTCCTCCCAGCAGATGGCAGCATGCTCTGAGCTGGGCCAGCAAATTCCAGTGGGAAAGAGCTGTAGCTGCTGGAGAAAGGGGGGAGGGGGAGGGCATTGTGCCGCCGCCGAGGCTCTGCATTATTTGTGTTGAATCTCCCAGTTATTCTCTCCTTTAAGATGTGAAACAAAAACCTTCACTTCAACCATCATTTATGAAGAGTCTTGTATACCAGCACTTTCACATTGACTTATCTTTTTTGTTCTCACAGCATCCCTCTCCTTGATTTATAGATAAATGAAACCCACAGAGGTTAAGGGGTTTGCCTAATGTCACACAGCTTCTATGTGGAGGTTCAGGTATTTGAATTCAAGGCCAATGTGCTCTTCTCTCCTCTCTTTCCTTCCTCTCTCCTCCTCCTCCTCCTCCTTCTTCTTCCTTTCTCTCTCTCTCTCTCTCTCTCTCTCTCTCTCTCTCCACACACACCCCTACCCGAGAGATGTGCACATATGGTTTATCTTGCCTGGGGCTACACAGCATAGAGCCCAGGAGAAATTCCCAGAAACAGGGAATTAGGGAGCTGCCAGGCCAAAGCTAAAGTAAAACTCTGAAACTCATCATCATATCTCCATAGGGACCAGAAGGAAGAGGGATCCAAAGTTCTTCAGGGGATAAAAGAAATCAAACTGAAGAAACTCCCAAGTTAAAATTTCCATCATGATTTCACTTATATGTGGAATCTAATGAATAAAATAAACACAATAGAAACAGCAAAAAAGGACCAATGTTCTTTCTAGCATATACAAGTATCCAAATAATTATATATTAATATGTAAATTATTTTATGAACCTTTTAAATTAGTTTCCTCCTTCCCTTCTTTCTTTCTTCCCCCCTTCTTTTTATCCCTCCCTCCCTCCTTCCCTTGCTCCCTTCCTTTCTTCCACAAGAATATTGAGTTCCTCTATGTTATAGAGTTTCCACCAAGTTCTTTTCTGTTATGAGTTCTTAAGGGATGACTCAGCTGCTTGGTAACTGACAGTTTCCAGAGAATTCTTCCTGTCTGGAGGTCTGGTTAGTCCAACATAGCAGGGCCTGAAGATCAGAGCCTCCCGTCCTAAGGACTTTGCAGAACAACCAGGCGTTTTCTTGCTGCCTCCAACCACTTTTAGGCTGCAGCCTCTTAACCTTCATATTCCTTTGCCCTGCCCG